TATAGCTTAACAAAGTGTTTTATAAATTAACCGAGACAATAATTAATGTGCTTTTATTTGCTCTGTGACAATAAGCAAATAGCCTATATTTACCTGTATTTGTCGATGAGGAGTGTGTTGCCAATCTATATACCAGAAACAGTAAACTCTGTCCATAAATTGCCAGTGTGTAGTCGTAGTCAAACCCGTAAACTTCTATGTCACGCAAGCTCAACTCATTATTGCAGAACACTGCTTTTGGGTCTATGTCTGGAGTAGGTGGCAAACCTACACAAGGGAAAGTCTTATTACCTTATATATAGAAAATAGAGATAGCCTGTATCCCATATAGCAGTTAACCCTACATGCTCAAAAAGCATTTCAACACAGCAATCTAAATGTGTAGTCACCCAAATAACATTATTGCCACGAAGCCCATCATTGTGTGCAAAATACTTAAATACCGACAAATAGAAAGTTGTGCTTCCACCACCGTTCTCGAAGTGGCTTTATTTATAGTACCGTGAATGTATTGCTACCTGCGCTCTAATACCTCGATTGATGAAGCCTATTAGTGACCACTAATAGTGTGTATATATAGGTGTGAGGGTGCATGTCATCACTATGTGTGTGTGTATGGGAGGAAGGTCGAAGGGTGTAAAGCATGAATGTTCGCGAATAATACTGTCACACTCCAAATAGTAGGATCGATTCAAATTGCAAGGTGTTAGTTCATTCAACCATGTTCTAAAGGCCTTAATAATAATTAATAATACGGCAGCATTGGGCTACGCGTCCGGAACCGGTCGCCTAGCCTCCAGGCTACGCATCCGGACATTCACTCACACAGTGATCGGCGCGACTTGCGTACACGCATTGGATTGCGCAACGGGACGCTCTGCTGATTGCCGTAATATACAATTATATGCACTGCTGCCGTCTATCCTTTCATCCGTCCTGCTACTCGCTCTCTCTCTCTCTCTTTCACACACACATGCACAGCTCTCTCTCTCTCTCTCTCTCACACACTCTAGCTCTCTCTCTCTCTCTCTCTCTCTCTCTCTTCTCTCTCTCTCTCTCTCTGCTCTCTCTCTCTCTCTCTCCACACACACACACACACACACACACGTGCACACACACACATGGCACACACACCACACACCACACACACACACCTCTAGCGCTCTCTCTCTCTATCTCTCTCTCTCTCTCTCTCTGCTCTCTCATGCATACACACACACAGCTCGCGCAATCAGCAGAGCGTCCGCTGTTGCTAAATCATGCGTGTGAGCGTGTCGCAAGATCACTGTGTGAGATGAGGATGTCCGGACGCGTAGCCTAGCGGCTCTCGTCGCAAACCGGTCACGTAGCCACAGCCTTAAAGAGATTACGTCACCGTAAATACTAAAAAATAAAAAAAACATTTCCACTTTTTCACAAAATATAAGTAATTGCTGTTCACTTTATTATGGTTAAATTGCTGCATTATACGAGTGAGCCATACACTCGTGATGCATACATAGCCATAGCAAGCAATTAATGTCAGGAACACTAATATCTCAATCGTCCAGGTTTTTTGGATTTTAACTAAGTTTGAGAAACAATCTTATTCAGGTAAGAATTTAATTATACGTTTAGTCACCGTTAGTTCTTACTTTTAATGATAAAAAAATGGCAATGAAGATTTTACAAATTTTACCATAGAAAATTCGGGACGTAGTCAATTTAATAATATTACCATTCTTCCTTGTTTACGACGAATCAAGGAAAATTATCAAAATCACGTTAGGGTAATAATAAGTTAAGAAAGTTTAGTACAAGTGAAGTGAAATTTTGGCTGAAACTCATTACAATAGCCTACAGTGTCAGTACTACTAGCTAGTGGTAAAGTAAGCTAGTACAAGTAGCTGAGTAGTGGCAGTAGGCCTGTACCATACGTATTTGGACGCTCGTCCGAAAACTGGATGCTCCTAAGTGCGCATGCGCCGGCAGGCGCCTCTTGTTTTTGCAAGGATGCATGCGCAGCATGCGCGCAGTAGTCATCTGCGCATCTCGCCCATCAAAAACGGTCGCAATAAACAAACATGGCGGCCAACCCGGTTGCACATGGAAGCATTTGATTGAAACAATTTGCAATGTAGTCAGTTAGTAAGACTGTGTTATGTGTGTCAGGTTACAAGCACTTGGCAGCAAGAACAAGTCGCGCAACCTGCCAGCTACAGCACACACGCGCGCGCCATTAACTAATATATATACAACATGGTGCCTAACTCGCCGCCGACGGACACACAACTCACCGTTTTTAATCAGTTAACAACTCCGGTGTTCCTCGCAGGTGACGCCACTTAGTTGAAATCGGCGGAAGACTGCTTAACAAGCTACACCCGCCATTTTTGACAATCGGCCCGCCAGAATGCGCTCAAATCACAGAAATTCCTCAAATATCCATGCGAAAAGATCCTTTGAATGCTACCTATGAAGAAGGCGGCAAGGCCGGCTGCCCCGATTGGCTGCAAGCAAGTTTTAAATGTGTAGACAGGCTGGCGCAATAAATGCAACTGACTTGCTGCAGCCAATCAGCGGCAGCCGGCCCTGCCGCCTTCTTCATAGGTAGCATTCGAAGAATCTTTTCGCATGGATATTTGAGGAATTTCTGTGATATTGAGCACATTTCTGGTGGCGCCAATTGTCAAAAATGGCCGGGTGTAGCTTGTTAAGCAGTCTTCCGTGATTCCAACGATAGTTGGAAAATGGCGTCACCTGCAGCGAAGCACCGGAGTTTGTTAACTGATTGAAACAGTGAGTTGTGGTCCGTGGCGGGCGCGAGTTTAGGCACCATGTTGTATATATATCAGGAGTAGATAATTAGCGGAAGGAGTGTGACATCAATAAACAAGGGAAATTCGTCTATTACTAGCCTTATAATACCTTACGATTTTACTAGCGTAACTCATCCAACTTGAGCTCAAATCGGACACAGCTACATTGCGCTCTAGGCATCGTGCGAAATCGTTTCCTCGTATACACCCGCAATCCGGAGATTACAGACTAAAACCTACGACAGGCGATTCTCCCATTCTTTGGCCATCAATCCAAATCCATTGCGTGCCTCTAATTTCAAACAAAAGGCAGCTACCTAACGCGCTATTGCTAACTCGGCGGGCATGTGGCTCGCTAGGAGATTAGGCATCAACACTCGGCGAGATAACCTTTGACCGATACACAGCTACACAGGCCACCTCTGCACATAGCTGGCATGCCTTCACGCACGCACGCCAACCTCAATGGCAGCCAGGCAGCTGATCGGCTTATAATGAAATCTCCCAGCGAGCCACATTGCCCGCCGAGTTAGCAAGCTGTGGTTAGGTAGCTGCCTTTTGTTTGAATTAGAGGCGCGCAATGGATTTGGATTGATGGCCAAAGAATGGAGAATCGTGTCATACGTTTTAGTCTGTATCTCCGGATTGCGGGTTTATACGAGGAAACGATTTCGCACGATGCTAGGCGAATGTACTGTGTCCGATTTGAGCTCAAGTTGGATGAGTTACGCGTAGTAAATCGTAGGTATTATAAGGCTAGTAAATGACGAATTTCCCTTGTTTATTGATGTCACACTCCTTCCCTATTATCTACTCCTGATATATATAGTCAATAGATGCGTGTGTGCTGTAGCTGCAGGTGCCGACTTGTTCAACAACAACAAAACTAGAAAAAAACAAAAGAGCATTCGCGCATGCGCACTTAGGAGCGTCCAGTTTCGAGCGAGCGTCCAAATACCACGGTACAGGCCTACGTAACGTTCAACGTTGTACATAAAAACTGTGTTACCCGCCACAACTTTTTTCGTTCGTTCGTAACGCTCCGGTAAGTTGATAGAATTCGATGAATCTCGAGACATGATTTTTATGTATCCTGCTGCAGTTGGTTCACGAAGGATATCGCTATTTCTTCCATGCAAACGTACAGAATTATATACTGAATTTTGTAAACATCTCAGAGTCAAATAAGCATGCATGATAACAAACATATACCATTTTGCAGATGGCTCTGCCACCTGCCGACAAGAAAATGAATTAAAAATCCGTCATCGTTTGCAAGCGATATCCTGTAGATAAATAAATAAAGATATTAAGCCGTATTTATTAAATGTATATAAATTTTGTTGGATCATTGCTAATGCAACAGGGATTTTGCTAATTAATTAATTTGCAATTAAGTTTTTAGATAATGCCTCGCGGATAAACACGCCCCTGTCGCACAATCAATCGTTATATTATTCATGCAAATTTAATCCCAATGCCATGGATACCGGATAGTTACAATGCGCGTAATTTGTTACCAGTTTTCACGTTCATGCTTAGAAAGAATCGGTTTATGTGTACGACAATAGTCGGTTATTGTTGTTTATCTATGAACAAACACATCAGTTCTACGGGAAGTGTGAGCAGTAATCATACCGCTGCCGAACCAGCAAGTTTTTGCGTAATGGAAAGCGGCAATGCTTTAGTAGGACCGCTCATTAGTGAGCATAACAACACCTTTGATATAGCAACTAATAACGCGGAGGCAAACGGATGCGAAAATGGCAGTGAAACAGTAAGCACGAATGATATAGGTGCAAAGGAAATAGTAAGCCACACACACGCTATCGCCGATATAGAACCTACGACGACATGTGCTAGAGGCGATACTGAGTCTGACTCTGTGTTCGCCGCTACCACCTCTAAAGAGAACTTGGATGATCATGGTGTCGCAATCGATGATTCCTTGATCGACCTAAATATCTCAGATAAAGATAAAGACAGACTCCAGAAAATTATGAATGCTGCTGTAACGAACCAGACTGGTAGGCATACGCAAAGTGAACAAGTAGATCAAATGGTTCATATAGCCACAGAACATTTATAAATAAATAAAATCCTGTCTTTCCCTCCCCCCTCTCTCTACCACTCTCTCCCACTCGCTGTATCTTACACGCTATGTGCTTCGAATCTTGACCTTTTGCTTTGGTTGACACTTACCTGCTGGTTTCTTTGAAGAACTTTGGTTTGTCTGCTTTAGTGATGATGATGTCAAACATCTCACGCCAGTTGTCCCCAAGCAGATACTGCATACCTTTCGACCTGATATTTTATTAAAGGTTCTATCCATGCTGCTTTTATTAATGTAATCTAATAGCATGCAATTTTCCACATACAAAAGCTGTATATATTGTATACAGTTAGCTGCGATGGCCATAAAAAAACAAATTAGAAACGTACAGTATATTTTGCATGAAGAAATATTGACACTTCTACGCTATTTGGCTAAAGCATAAGCCGATAACAACCATCAGGGCAGATAAACAACCATTCAATGGAAAAAATCATTTTGGTCACCTGATGTTTTTTTGCAATGTGCCACGCATTGGATAGCGATTCGACGGCACGTATGAAAGTCTCCTTACAGAGCAAGCTCTTTATTTCAGCGGGTGCAAAAATACGTGAACGAATTCGGAAAGGGCAACGTTGCAACCAGCTCATGCCTTCATGCATGCGTGTGGATTCTATACCACCATCGGCATGCACAACTGCCAACACGCTCACAGTGAACCCCCCACCCCCACACACACACACACACACACACCCACACACACAGTCACACGAATCACGGATATTATAGAAAAGCACTTACGCACAAGGATAAGAATTGGTATTAGGAGGATATGATAACCTAATTATCGTGTCAGCCTACTCCTGATCTTTACTATAGTACTATCAGGAGTGAATAATAATCTATTATTATTCACTCCTGGTAATATTGATAGCCAAGAAATGCAATACTTGATCTTTCTAATATCTGGACCTATATTATGTGCTAATGTAAAACAAGCAATGCATACTCATGGTGCCAATAATACTAGCAGAGCACAACATGGAAAATTTCGGTGCATGGATAACACATATACGTTGCTTTCCGATCAAGCATCGAACTTAAAATGAACTAGATCTTCGAAGGCTACCGACGCATTTGACGACAGAGAAAAAGAACACATGGATAGAAGGTAGTCAGACAGGGATTGTCAACTTAAACGTCTGCACACGTGCAATACACGGCGGTTTCACAGAGCTTAGATAGAGGGGTACTCTTGCTCACACGTATGCATAGCCGCTGTTTGTCACGAGGAAGATGCTTTTTCCCGCATCCTTCAGCCTCCGCAGCATCTGCTTCAAGCCGTCGTCCTTCTCCACGTATTTATCTGGAATTCGTCACGTGTTAACGGATACATAGCATTTGCGAAACTTCGTCGATCACTTTGATTAATCGTTGCAATGATGATACCAGGTGAACAGAGTTTTCAGAATAGCTCTCACTCACTCTCTCTCTCTCTCTCTCTCTGTGCCCATGAGTTCTTTGTGTGTTAACATATGGTGTGATTCGAGCACCCATGGTAAGGTCACAGGCACATCATGGTCTGGTCAGAGAATTTGGGTAGAGTAGAAAGAATGAGAGAGGTGTGTTGTACGGGTTGTATGTGCAAATGAAGATGCTGTGTAGGCGCAAGTAAAGATATCGTATGCAGAAGTAGTAAAACCATGGGTACAACTGAGGGATTGCCGTCTGACACTGAAAGGTTGATGGTTGCTGAGATCAACAGTACAGAACACCAACACGGCAACATAGCAGACAAGGAGATGTGCAAGATCAGAGTATTAACTGCTGCTTTAGCACTTTCACGATAGAAGCAATCACATCACGGTCAGGGTCAGTATGCGGGAGACACCTGAGCCACACGCATACATGCAAGCAGCCGGCATTTATCGCTCTTAATGGCATGATATCGCATCATCATTATCCCTGTGGCGATGGATCCACACATATCATCATCATCATCATCTTCGTTTATAGTCCATCTTTTCCCGTGCCTGGGGTTGGACTTGCGATGATCCTCCTCCACCGTTCTCTGTCCTGCGTTGATCTTTCATCTATATTCAAGTCCTTCAGATCTTTCTGCCCTGTGCCTATCCATGTTCTCTTTAGTCTTCCAACCGGTCTTTTTCCAGGTATCTCTAATTCTTCCACAAACCTCAGTACTCCTCCTTCCGTCTCCCTTCGAACATGCCCAAACCATTGTAGTCTTCTCTGTCTAGTTCTATTCTGTATCTCTCTTAAACCATATCTCTTTGCCACTTCTTCACTGGATATCCTATCCTGCCATCCATGGATCCACACATCTACATCCATCCATCTACATCTATGGATCCACACATATACAGATCAATATCCCTAGCAGAGATCTCTAATTCCTATTACAAGAGATTACTCCGACATAACGATTTCGCATGTGGATTTTGCAACATATTAGCAATTGTAGTCAAACAATTTACAAACTCCATAAATCAACAAGTTTATAAACATCAAATAGGTTTAATAAGAGAATTACCAAAGCCACTACTCGATGCAGATAGAAAACGTTGCACCACTCATTTTGTGATAGAAATGAGGCTAAAACGAGCAAAAACGTTACGGACATGTTTCACTCGTTTTAAAATGTGAAGCATCTTGGCTCATCAGCCGCACATGTGAGATCCTAACCACATGCTGCTTGATGAGGGTACGGATAACAGCGACATACACTCAGGGCATGAAATTAGCCAAAATGTGAACAGACCCACCCAAAATTTTAAGCAGGCCCTTAGACAAATTGAACAGACCCTTACAAGTTTGAACAGGCCCTCAATTTTGTTCAATTTATTCCATTATTAATAAAAGTATTAGCTTTGTGTTTATTAGGCATACTCATAATATCTATTTGCATAGTTTGTATTAAGAAGTAGAGTAGAGTCTTATAGTGAAGTAAAGACTAGTCAAGAAATTTGTAAATATTGTTGATATAAAGGCAAGATAGGCAAAATTTTGAATAGGCCAAGTGGATTGATTATATGAGGGGTTGAACTGGTGGTTTAGAGGGTTGAACCGGTGGCCACCGGCAAAACAGCGCTAATTTCGCGCACTGTACACTATCAACCCATCCACTGAAATAGTATACTTACTCATGTCTTTGAGAACCTCTTGGTGCATCAGGCCGGACGTGTGAACAAACTCCACGGCCGTCTGCAATGAAAAACGAACACAGTAAGCACAACTATATGAGCTATACAAGTAAAGTACATACCAAAACAACAATCCTACACAGATGTAGATCGGCGCATCAACAACGCCGGCTCTCTACACCTCGAGCCGTCAGATACGCTCCACGTGTATCGAAGACGGACGACGTTTGTCGCGTCTCTGTACGGAAGGTCTCCGCGTTTCGCTGGGAACCGAATTCGCACCTTGACGTCCGTGAACAGGTAGTCGGCGTCAAACTCGATGTCGTGCTGCATGAAATGCTGCGCTACGTCGGACAGCAACGCAATCTCCGGCAGGCTGAAGATGTCGACCAGCTGCTGGAAGTGCGCCCCCTACAGGCAGGTAAAGATCACGATAATGAAAATAAACAAGAGTGGAAAAAAATTTCCCCACTCGAAATTCGCCCGAGCACCGCAACAGAATTCATGTGGAGCGAAAAAACGGACACCATCATTCCAGAAACGGTGCCAACGTTAAAAAAAAAACGGCGCAAAACGATCTTCCGAAGATTTGCTCGCTACACGCCGATCCCGCGAACTGCGATTGTCGAGACGCTGCGTGCACGCCGCGGCCGACGACGACGGACGTCTTCCGGACGACTCCGCAGCTTCCCGTCGCCGCGGCGACGAACTTACATAGCCGTAGAAGTTGTTGAGATCGTCTATCGGGATGTGCAGGCCCTCGTAGAGCCGATTGACCTCGTTGTCCGGCACGCGGCAGTGACCGTGATAGACGGTGCCCATCTGCACCTTGTGAAACGCATCCAGCTTCATCAGCAAGCCCTAGAGACAATCAGAGGCGAGAGAACGCGTTGTCAACTGCACGAGGAATACTGATGGGGTGCACACGTATCATCTCTATCGCGTAGTTGGTGAATTGAAAATGGCAGGAGAGGTGGTAAGGACAAAGCCACCTAAGCAAAAGTAAGGTGACGTAAGGTAAGTTTGAATAAAAATAAGATAAGGTGAGGTAAGGCGATGTGAAGTAGAGTTAGGTAAGGTGATGTAATGTAAAATAAGATTAAGATAAGGTAAGGTAAGATTGAAGTAGGGTAATGTGATGTTAAGTGAGGTAAGGTAAGATAAAGTAAAGTAAGGTGAGGTAAGGTGAAGTAAGGTAAGTTAAGATTTAGGTGAGTTTAATCCAAGGCTAGGTACTGTGACATGAAGTAAAGAAGGGTAAGAATAAGGTAAGTTTAGGGTAAGGTACGGTAATGTCAGGTAAGAATAAGGTAAGTTTAGGGTAAGGTACGGTAATGTCAGGTAAGATAAGGCAGGTTGTTGCTTGACATTGCCTGGAGGCAAACGAAAGTAAACAAACATTGTCGTACGTGTCCTGCTCTCGCTGCAATCAACTCCGAAAGAAGCCTTAAAACTTTCATCCCGACCCTCTGAGAATAAGGATTAGCTCTAGAGTCTAGACTATGTGTAATTGGATCAGTTCAATAATGCAGGGCTAAATTTTAAGGTTTTTTTTGGGTTGTCCGACTAGCATATGGTTGTCCCTCAAGAGTTTTGGTTGTCCGGATATTATTTAAACATGTGCTGCATGCGCTTTGCTCACCTGATGCTCAGTGCTGTAAAGCAAAAGGCCTAATCATGTACATTTTGTATGTATTGTAGTGACAGTGTCTTAGCGAGCACAGATTATTGATTTTATAGAGGTTGGACACCGTGCAACCACGGAAGCAATTTGTAGTTGCCCGAGAGAATATCCGGTCATCACGAACGACCGGACGACTGCAAAGATTGAGCAGCCGCACGAGTAAAAACTTGTGACAGTGATGCTCACCTTATGGACATCATAGTGCAGACCTCGGACAGCAAATGATGGGTCATATGTTAACTTGCTTATCTCGTTCGGATACTAAAACATCAATTGTAATTTCAAATTTGTAAGCCAATAACAAATTCACATCACTTACGCACATATTGCTTTGAATATAGCTTTAACAAAGTGTTTTATAATTAACCGAGACAATAATTAATGTGCTTTTATTTTGCTCTGTGACAATAGCAAATAGCCTATATTTACCTTGTATTTGTCGATGAGGACGTGTGTTGCCAATCTATATACCAGAAACAGTAAACTCTGTCCATAAATTGCCAGTGTGTAGTCGTAGTCAAACCCGTAAACTTCTATGTCACGCAAGCTCAACTCATTATTGCAGAACACTGCTTTTGGGTCTATGTCTGGAGTAGGTGGCAAACCTACACAAAGGAAAGTCTTATTACCTTAAATATAGAAAATAGAGATAGCCTGTATCCCATATAGCAGTTAACCCTACATGCTCAAACAGCATTTCAACACAGCAATCTAAATGATTAGTCACCAGAATAACATTATTGCCATTAATGAAGCCTATCATTGTGTGCAAAATACTTAAATACCGACAATGGCGACAAATAGAAAGTTGTGCTTCCACCACCGTTCTCTGTCACTGAAGTGGCTCTATTTATAGTACCGTGAATGTATTGCTACCTGTGCTCTAATACCTCGATTGATGAAGCCTATTAGTGACCACTAATAGTGTGTATATAGGTGTGAGGTTGCATGTCATCACTATGTGTGTGTGTGGGAGGAAGGTCGAAGGGTGTAAAGCATGAATGTTTGCGAATAATACTGTCACACTCCAAATAGTAGGATCGATTCAAATTGCAAGGTGTTAGTTCATTCAACCATGTTCTGAAGCCTTAATAATAATTAATAATACGCAGCACTTGGCTACGCGTCCGGAACCGGTCGCCTAGCCTCCAGGCTACGCATCCGGACATTCACTCACACAGTGATCGCGCGACTTGCGTACACGCATGATTGCGCAACGGGACGCTCTGCTGATTGCCGTAAATATACAATATATGCACTGCTGCCGTCTATCCTTTCATCCGTCCTCTCTCGCTCTCTCTCTCTCTTTCACACACACATTGGCACAGCCTCTCTCTCTCTCTCCGTCTCTCACACAACATGCCAGCTCCTCCCTCGTTCTCCAGCCTCATCTCTCTCTCTCTCTCTTCTCTCTCTCTGCTCTCTCTTCTCTCTCTCTCTCTCTCTCTCTCTCCCACACACACACACACACGACACACACGTGCACACACACACATGGCACTACAGCACCACACACACACACACACACACCTTCTAGCGCTCTCTCTGCTGCTATCTTCTCTCTCCTCTCCTCTCTCTCTCAATGCATACACACACAAACCAGCTCGGCAAATCAGCAGAGCGTCGGCCTGTTGTAAATCCATTTTTGGTGCGTGTACGCTGTCGCAAGATCACTGTGTGAGATGAGGATGTCACGGCACGTCGTAGGCCTAGCGGCTCTCGTCAGCAAACCGGTCACGTAGCCAACAGCGCTTAAAGAGATTACTGTCACGCGTACAATACTAAAAAATAAAAAAAACATTTCCACTTTCACAAAATATAAGTAATTCTGTTCAGCTTTATTATGGTTAAATTGCTGCATTATACGATGTGACCATTACACTCGCTGATGCATTACATAGCCATAGCAAGCAATTAATGTCAGGAACACTAATTATTCAAATCGTCCAGGGTTTTTTTGGATTTTTAACGTAGTTTGAGAAACCAATCTATCAGGTAAGAATTTAATTATACGTTTAGTCCCACCGTTAGTTCTTACTTTTAATGATAAAAAATGGCAATGAAGATTTTACAAATTATTAACCAATAGAAAATTCGGGACGTAGTCAATTTAATAATATTACCATTCTTCGCTTGTTTACGAACGAACTCAAGAAATTATCAAAATCACGTTTAGGGCTATAATAAAGTTTTAAGAAAGTTTAGTCACAAGGTGAAGTGAAATTTTGGCTGCAACTCATTACAATAGCCTACAGTGTCAGTACTACTACTAGTGGCTAAAGTAAGCTAGTACAAGTAGCTGAGTAGTGGCAGTATGCGCCTGTACCGATACAGTAATTTGGACGCTCGCTCCGCTAAAGCTGGATGGCTCCTAAGTGCGGCATAGCGCCGTGCGAGGCGGCCTCTGTTTTTGCAAGGATGCATGGCCGCCACGGCATGGCCAGTAGTCATCTGCGCATCTCGCCCATCAAAACGGTCGCAATAAACAAAGCATGGCGGCGCCAACCCGGTTGCACATGCGAAGCATTTGATGAAACAATTTTGCAATGTAGTCAGTTTAGCTACAGACTGTGTTTATGTGTGTCAGGTTACAAGACTTGGAAGCAAGAACGAAGTCGCGCAACCTGCCCAGGCTACAGCAACACACTGCGCGCGCCATTACTAATATATATACAACATGGTGCCTAACTCGCCGCCGACGGACGACACAACTCACCGTTTTTTATGCAGTTACAAACTCGGTGTTTCCATCCAGTTGACGCCACTTTGAGTTGAAATCGCGCGAAGACTGCTTAAACAAGCTACACCCGCCATTTTTGACAATCGGCCCGCCAGACATGGCGCTCAAAATCACAGAAATTCCTCAAATATATCCATGCCGAAAAGATCCTTGCTGAATGCTACCTATGAAGTAAGGCGGCAAGGCCTGGCTGCCCCCGCCTTTGGCTGCAAGGCAAGTTTTAATGTAGGTAGACAGGCCTGGCGCAATAATGCAACTGCACTGTGCTGCAGCCAATCAGCGCAGCTGGCCCTGCGCCTTCATGCAATAGGTAGCATTGCGAAGAAACTTTTTCGCATGGATATTTTGAGGAATTTCTGTGATATTGAGCAGCATTTCTAGCGTGGCGCGCACAATTGTCAAATAATGGCCGGGTGTAGCTTTGTTAAGCAAGTCTTCCGTGTTCCAACGATACTGTTGCCGAAAAATGGCGTCACCTGCAGCGAACCACCGGAGTTTGTTAACTGATTGAAAACAGTGAAGTTGTGGCTCCGTGGCGGGCGGAGTTATTGGCACCATGTGTATATATATCAGGAGTAGATAAAGGGAAGAGCTGTGACATCAATAAACAACGGGAAAATTCGTCATTTACTAAGCCTATATAATACCTTACGATTTTACTACGCGGGTAACTCATCCAAGCTTGCAGCTAAAATCCGGACACAGCTACATTCGCTCTAGCATCGTGCGAAATCGTTTCCTCGTATAGCACCCGGCAATCGGAGATACAGACTAAACCTACGACAGGCGATTCTCCCATTCTTTGCGCCATCAATCAAATCCATTGCGTGCCTCTAATTTTCAACAAAAGCGCAGCTACCTAACGCGCTATGCTAAATCGGCGAGGGCGCATGTGGCTCGCCTAGGAGATTAGGCATCAACACTCGGCGAGATAACCTTTGACCGATACAGGCAGGCTACACAGGCGCACTCTGCACATAGCTGGCCATGCCTTCACGCACGGCACGCCAACCTCATATCAGCAGCAGCTGATCCGGGCTTATAATACTCCAGCGAGCCACATTGGGGCTGCCGACGTTTAGCAAGCTGTTGGTTACGCGTAGCTGCTCTTTTGTTTGAATTAGAGAGGCGGCGCAAATGGATTTGGATCTGATGCCAAAGAATGGAGAATGCTGGTCATACGTTTTAGTCTGTATCTCGCGATTGCGGGTTTATACGAGGAAGACGACGTTTCGCACGATGCTAGCGCCGAATGCTACTGTGTCCGATTTGAGGCTCAAGTTGGATGAAAGTATAACGCCGTAGTAAATCGTAGGTATTATAAGGCTAGTAAATGACGAATTTGCCCTGTTTCATTGATGTCACACTGCCTTCCCTATTATTGCTACTCCTGATATATATAGTCAAATAGATGCTGTGGTGTGCTGTCAGCTGCTAGGTGCGACTTGTTAACAACAACAAAAACTAGAAAAAACACACAAAAGAGCATATTCGCGCATGCGGCACTTTAGTGAAGCGGCGTCCAGTTTGCGACAGGCGAGCGTCAAATACCAGCGCCGTACGGCTCTACGTACGTTTGTAGGCCCTTACATAAAAAACTGTGTTACGCCGCCAGCAACTTTTTTCGTTCGTCGTAACGCCCGGTAAGTTGATAGAATTCGAATGAATCTCAGAGAACATGATTTTTATATGTATCCTGCTGCAGTTTGGTTCACGAAAGGCATTCGCCCTATTTCTTCGCATGCAAACGTACAGAATTATATACTGAATTTTGTAAACATTCTGCAGAGTAAATAAGCATGCATGATACAAAACATATACCATTTTGCTGATGGCTCTGCCACCTGCGACCTTAAGGAAATGAATTAAAAATCCGTTCATTCGTTGCAAGCGATTATCCTGTAGATAAATAAAATAAAGATATTAAGCCGTATTTATTAAATGTATATAAATTTTGTTGGATCATTGCCTTAATGGCAACAGGGATTTCGCTACATAATTAATTTGCAATTAAGATTTTTAGATAATGCCTCCGCGGATTAACAGCGCCCCTGTCGCAGCAATCAATCGTTATATTATTCATGCAAATTTAACGCCATATGCCACCTGGATACGCCGGATAGTTACACTCGCGCGTAATTTGTTACCCAGTTTTTCACGTTCATGCTTAGAAACAGATCGGTTATGTGTACGACAATAGTCGCGTTTGATGTTGTTAATATCTCATGACACAAACACATCAGCTTCTACGGAAAGTGTGAGCGGCAGTAATTCCATACGCTGCCTCGCAACAGGCAAGTGTTGCGTAATGGAAAGCGGCCAATGCTTTAGTAGGACCGCTCATTAGTGAGCATAACAACACCTTTGATATAGCAACTAATAACGCGCCGAGGCCCAAAAGGAATGCGAAAATGGCAGTGGAAACACGTAGGCACGAATGATATAGGCTGCAAAGGAAGGAGTAGTAAGGGCCACACACACCCTATCGCCGATATATGAACTACGACGACATGTGGCTAGAGGCGATACTGCAGTCTGACATCGTGTTCGCCGCCTACCACTCTAAAGAGAACTTGGATGCGCATCATGATGTCGCCAATCGATGATTCCTTGGATCGACCTTAAACTATCTCAGTATAAAGATAAAGACCAGACTCCAGATAATTATGAATGCTGCTGTAAGCAACGCAGACTGGGTAGCATACGCAAACGTGAACAAGTAGTATCAAATGTTCATATAGCCACACGAACATTTATAAATAAATAAATATATATATAATTATTATAGTAACATATTTATATATTATATAATGTATAATATAAAATGAAAATATAAACTTGTATAAACACGATGACCACTGACGC